AAAAATTTTCAGTTTAAATTTCTAATATGGAAACATTGGTGAAATAGCCTATATAAATAAGAGCTCGTTGGGGGTCTTTAGTAATTCTCAAGAGTGTAAAGAGGTCCTGAGATAAAAAAGTTTGAGAACTGCTACTATAGGGGGTCTGTCACAGAGGCACACAAGGCTGTTTATTGCAGGTGTACTCTGAAGTACTAACCCTGAAAGGCATCCATGTAGTGGCTAAGTGGAAAAAAGCAAATTGGAAATGAGTCAGCATGGCATGGGAATTGGGATTTCGGCACAATGGGAGAAAACTTGTACTTTTTACTTTGCATTTGTGATTTCTTTCTCTGACAAATTTGTGTTATTTTATAATGTAAAAAATACAGAGATGTAAAAACCAAACTGATGGCAGCCCAGCCAAATAGTCACTTCCTTGCAGCAGCTTTTTATTTATTTTATTTTTTTAAGATTTTATTTATTTATTTGACAGAGAGAGAGAGACAGCGAGAGAGGGAATACAAGCAGGGGGAGTGGGAGAGGGAGAAGCAGGCTTCCCGCCAAGCAGGGAGCCCGATGCGGGGCTCGATCCCAGGACCCTGGGACATGACCTGAGCCGGAGGCAGACACCAAACGACTGAGCCACCCAGGCACCCCGCAGCAGCTTTTTATGAAAGAATTTGCCTAAGTCATGTTTTACTGAAGGCAAATCAATTTCTTGGACCTCCGGTGTTCTTTTTCTAGGAGAACACAGTCTTACTTTGTGTTACAAATTGTTGATCTTTTATAGGGTGATCTAAGAGTTGGTTAACATCCATATAGGTTGGATTAAAAAATTTGCAGTTATACAGTGTTGGATCAGGCACGAATCTGGAAGCCAAGAATACTGGTAGATGAGGGTGTCAGTGATGAATCTGGAAGGAGAGGGCAGATGTCAGTTTTTTTTGCCAGGATCATTCAGGGTCAGAAGGGCTAGTCATGTGTACAGGGAGAAAAAAAAAGAAGCCATATTATTTCATGTGTCGTATGTTCTAAATTTCAGTGGCTTGACTAAAGAAAGTTCACTTTCAGGAGAGTTGGTAAAAGAGGCATAAAAGCATTCACTAGTAAACCTCTTTTCCTTAGCGATTCCTTCTTTCTTCAACAAATACTTATTGAGCACACACTGTGCATCAGGTAATGTTTTAGTCATCTGTGAAACATTAGCAAACAAAAAACATCCCTGCCCTCTTGGAATTTACAAATTCATTCTAGTGGGAAGAGACAGACCATAAATAAGCTAGGTAAGTGAAATATAAAGTATGTTAGATGGTAGCAGGTGCTGGGGAGAAAAATAACACAGGAAAGGGGCTAGGGAATGTTGAGAGGTGTGATTTTAGTTAGGGAGGACCCCCTAAGAAAGTGGCATTGGGAGGGAGGTGAGGGAACAACCCTTGGAAATAATGGGGTAAAAGCATTTCAGGCAGAGAGAATCAGGGTGCAAAAGGCCCCAGGCAGAGCTTGTTTAGCGTGTTCTAGGAGAAGCCCAGAGTAGCTGGAGCAGAGAGCAAAAGGAGAGTTGGTAGGAGATAAAATGGGGGTGAGGAGAGAATGACTGGAGAAGAATGTCGCCTTGTTGACCATTTGAAGATTTTGACTTTGACTCATGTGGTTTGGGAAGGAGTAACAGGCCCTGACTTATGTTTTATTTATTTATTTTTTAAATTTATTTATTTGACAGAGAGAGACACAGCAAGAGAGGGAACACAAGCAGGGGGAGTGGGAGAGGGAGAAACAGGCTTCCCGCGGAGCAGGGAGCCCGATGCAGGGCTCGATCCCACGACCCCGGGATCACGACCTGAGCCGAAGGCAGACGCCCAACGACTGAGCCACCCAGGCGCCCTGACTTATGTTTTATTAAAATGTCTCTCGCTGCTGTATTCTGAAGGAGAGCAAAGAGGAAGCAGGGGTTCCACTGAGGGGTTGGCTGTACTCATCTGAATAAGAATGGTCATGGCTTGGACCGGGATGGCGGTGGTGGTGAAGGGTTCAAATTCTGTGAATACCGGCAGGCACAGCTGTCTAGAATCGCTGTTGGATTAGATATGAGGTGGGGTGAGTAGGATGTGAGAGAAGTCAAGGATGACTCCAAGGTTTTTGGAAAAATGGAGATGTCTTTTACTGAAATGTAGACTAGAAGAGTGGGGTTTTGGGGAGGTGGGTTGCAG